TCTCCTCCTCCTCCTCCTCCATCTCCTCCTCCTCCTCCTTCTTCTCCCCTCTCCTTCTCGTGGTCCCCATGAACCCAGAACCTCACCCCAGCTGAACGAGCTCCCTTCCCCTAGGCTTCACCCCTCCCTCAATTTTTCCCAAAGACCCCAGGAGAACCCAAACTCCTGTCACAATCTCCACTTCTGAATAAGAACACAGCACTGAAGATGCCACCGTTGGGGCAGAAACATTCCTAAGTGAACCCCTGTGCGATGCCCTCCCCTGATTTTTCTTCCCCTGCTCCCCTTCTTGGAAGTTTTGGTCCCCGCTGTGCACGTGGCCTCTCTCAGCGTAAGAGGACTCTGCGTGTGGGGTTTGTGGATCTTGCAAACCCTCTCTGGGGCTGGGGTCCCTGTCCAAGCCCACTCCATCAGCGGCCGGCATGGCTCTGCCCCGCAGGACGAAGGCAAAGCGAGGTGCCGGGGTGTCAGGTGTGAGTAACACGGATCTGTGGCTGTGTCCTTCACAGCCCCTGCCTGCGAGATGCACCGGCTCTGGGGCTGAGAGGGAGAATGTGATCCCGCTGCAGGGTCGGCCCTGGGCACCGGGAGCTGATGAGCTTTTGCGCCTGCCCTGCCCTTCCCCCTGAGAGCGAGCTACCAAAGGGGTGGGTGTAATACATTTCTCGAAGGCCGCGTGGAGCTGTGGCTCAGCCACCCAACCTCGGTCCGGCAAGGCTGCGTTTCACGGCCACAAAAGATGGGTCCATGGCTCAGTAGGGCATCAGATGGGGCCTGAGTGGAAACTGGGCCCCTGCAGAGGGAATCAGACGAGGATCTGGGGACGAGGACATCCTGCCTCAGCCTCCTGGATCCAAAGGCAGCGTCCTCACGAGAGGCAGAGGAGGAGACGCGGGGGGTCGGAGGCAGAGCCTGGTGTGATGGGGCCGCAGCCCAGGGCCACCTGGAGCCCCGGAGGAGGCAGAGGCGGGAGGGTCTCATTCCAAAATTAGTGAATCATGGTGCTATAGCAGAATATCATAAACCAGAAAACTTAAACCTCGGACGCTTCCCATCCCGTCCCGGAGCTGCAGGCCTGAGGCCCAGCGTGGGCAGCACGGGCTCCTCTGGGGCCTCAGCCCTGGGCTCCCTGTGTCCTCACACACGCGTCCCTCTGTGTGTGTCCGCCTCCTCCATCCTCTGCTCAGGAGGACCCAGCCTGGTGGGGTTGGGGCCACCCTGGGGACTCAGTTTACCTTCAGGGCTCTTTAAGACCCCAGCTCCAAATGGCTGCAGCCTGAGGTACTGAGGTCAGAGAGTCAGTTAACAAACAGCCTCATCGTGAGGTCATGAGGGTCAGGGCTGCAGCAGGGGGATTTTCAGGGGCCTGTGCTCAGCTGGCAGCTGCCACCTGTGCTTGGAAAAAGCAGACGTTATCTCTCCACATTTAAAGACATTAAAATATAGTTGTGGTACATGGGGATGACCTTCAGTTTGGGCCCCTCCACGTGTAAACGATCTCTGCATTCATCAGCTCGCTTCGAAATCAGCAGCAGGTGTTTCACATTCTGTTGTTTTCAACTCCTCTCGGGATGCGATAAAGAAACACAGAGGGCCGGGATTTAGCTCAGTGGTTCCACCGCCTGCCTCTCAAGCTCAAGGTCCCGAGTTCGATTCCTGCTCTCAAAAAAAACAGAGAGAGAGAAAGAAAGATGCACAGAGAAGTGTCTGTTTCTTGCCTGTTTGGGGGCTGTCTCCTGACTCCCAAGGGAACGGACCTGCTCCTCTCGGGGTGCGCTTGGCCCTCGACAGCCACCTCACCGCCCCTCTGCCTGGCTGGGTCCCTGAGCCGTGTGCGTCTGTGACGTCTCTCAGCTCTGCTCATGGCTCATGGCCTCCTCTGTACCCCGCAGGTGGACAGGGCTACAGGCCCAAGCCTCGCTATGGGAATGGTTACGGTAAAGGGGGTCTCGCGGGCCGGGGAGGAAGTGCGCACACCTTCTGCACAAAACTAACCGGGGCTGGGCCGGGACAGCAGCACTGGGGCCTGCACCTGGCACGGGGCATCTAACCTCCACCAGCACCTGCACCTTGGCCGGCGTTCTCCGCATGCCTGCTGCAGCCTCCGGGCGGGTGTTTTGCATTCTGTGAGCCCTTCGTGTCCAGAGAGAACCGAGACCCGCTGCTGTGTTAGTGTGTGTCATGCACATGTGTGCACGTATGTGTGCACATCCCCGCACCTGGGTGTTGTGTGTGTGTGGATACACACATTGCATGCACATGTGGAGTTCAGAGCAGCTTTGCGCATAGAGATTATGTGTGTGTTTTTCAAGTATGCAAGTGCGTGCACACATGTTCCTGCGTGTGCTCTTCAATTACATGTGTATATGGCACAATCATGCCTCTCCATGCTCATACATAGGTGTGTGTGTGTCCTCTGCACATAGAGGTTTTGCTGTGTGCACATGGATGCTGCTGTATGCATGGAGTGCGTGATTTTATGTGCATGTCTACATGTATTTGCATATGTAGATGTGTGTGGCAAGACGTGTCTGTCTGTCCCTCTGTGTGCATATGTATGCATTGCACCATGTGTGCACACATGTGTTGCACCATGGGCCTTGTGTACATGGGGCACTTGTGTGATATGTGCACTTGAATGCTGCATTCGTGCCTGCACAAATGCACTAGGCACATGCACATGCATGTTTTGTATGTCTGCATATTGCATTTGTACAGGTGTATATTGCACAGGGGAGTGTGTGCCTGCCTGTGTGTGAACATGTGAGTGTACTGTGCTGTTTTCTGGTATCCATCTCTTACATTGTTACTTGCATGTACTGCATTGTACTGCATTGCATGTTGCATTGGCATGAGCACACATCTGTGCACATGCCTGTGTGCATGTTATGTGTGTGCTTTCATGTTGCACTTGTTTATGTGTGGGTGTGCAGGCTAGAGCTGGGTGTGTGCCTACACTTGTGTGGAGATGTGCCTGAATCATTCAGTGTGCATGTGTGTTGCCTGTTACATACATGTCATGTGCATTTGAAGGTTACATTTGTGTGTGAGCATGTGTCTGGCTATGTGTGTGTGCATGTGTTAGGTGTGTGCTTCCATGTTGCATTTATGTGTGGTGGGTCACATTGCACAGGGGTGTGTGTGCGCGCATGTGTATGGACATGTGTGTGCCTCACACTAGTGTTCGTGTGTGCCCACAGGTGAGCACGTGTGCGTTGACATTTGTGTCCCATGCACACCGTGTGTGCATGTGCTGTCTGCCCCTTTGCACACATCTGAGCACGTGTCCCTCCTGACCCTGAAATTGAAGCTGCCTCTTCCTGTCACGGCCCCAGCGCACTAACCCCCGATGTGGCCTGCCGGTTCCCAGCCGCCTTCCGCATGCAGCCTTTGGCGCCCGCTTCTCCCAGTGGAAAGCAGTTCTGTCAGAGCCCAGCTGCTGGGCATTGTGCCCCCTGCCGCGCCCTCCCTCGAGGAGCTGAGGGTTTGACTCACAAAGGTGTCCTCTGTCCCTTGCAGGTGGAGGGGAGACGTCAACGTACAACAGCCCACAAGGTGAGGTGCCTCCGCTGCCCGCTCGGGTTGGCCCGGCCTGGAGGTGCTCAGGGAGGGCGAATCCCCTGTCCGGGAGCTGTGATGGTTCTTGCCTCTGACCAGGTCCAGTTGGAAGCTCAGGAAAGACTCTTTCGTGTCTCGACTCCCTAACCCGTCTAGGGAGGCCGCTTCCTCCGTAGCAGTTCCGCCGTGCTGGCCAGTCCACGTCATCTAGGGTGGAGCTGGGAAGTGTCCTACGCACCCACTGTGCTATTTTACACCTGGGGCTTTAGCAACCCTGAGAACCATCTGCAAAGGCAGATTCAGCAGAACAACAAACAAGGGGTCCCGTGGTTTGGCTATGCAAACCAGGCATTAAGCTGCTTGTAAAAGTTCACCTCCACGCCAAGGCATCTTGTTTGGATTTTTGGGGGGTTTTTTGAGACAGGATCTCTCTATGGAGCCCAGGCTGGCCTTCAACTCGAGGCGATCCTCCTGCCTCAGCCTCCTGAGTGCTGGGATCACAGGTGTGCGCCTCCACCCCCATCTGGACTTGTATTTTTTAATGGTTGTGCTTGCCCCGGAGCGTGCCTGGGGTTCTGTAACACAAGCACTTCTCCTGCATTTCTTTTCTGGCTTTCCCACCCTGCCCTGCCTTTCTTGACTCCCACAGGCAACACCATAGCCAGGATCGTATCCCCCATCGTGTCTGTGGTGGTAGTGGCGCTGCTGGGAGCCAGCGTGAGCTTCTTCAAGTCCAACCGGAGGGCAAACTGCCTGCGGGCTGGCGGTGAGTTCCACGGTGTCTCCCCCACTGGGTGGAGGGTGGGTGGTTTCAACAAGCAAACAAACACCTTTCTGCTCTTTCACTAGCAGTGCTGCTCCTGCCAGGTCCAATGTAGGGACTTTTGCGTAATGAAATGACTTTAAATTGGGATTCTGTTTTGAGACAGTCTCACTATGTAGTTCAAGCTGGCCTTGAACTCGCAGAGATCCTCCTGCCTCAGCCTCCTGAGTACTGGGATGACAGGTGTGTGCCACCACAGCTGACTTGAAGTGGGATTTCCTTTCTTTCTTTCTTTCTTTCTTTCTTTCTTTCTTTCTTTCTTTCTTTCTTTCTTTCTTTCCTTTTTTCTTTTTGGTTCCAGGGATCAAACTCAGGATCTTGTACTTGCAAGGCAGATGTGGCACCACTGAGTTAAATCCCCGGCTCTTAGATTGGGATTTTCACATGAACATACACAGGAAGTAGAGAGAAACCAATACGGGAGCATATTTGTCTTTTTATGTGTGTGTGTATATATATATTTTCGGTACCAGGAATCAAACTCAGGACCTTGCACTTGCCAGGCAGGCGGGGCGTCACTGAGCTAAATTCACAGCCCTCTACATACATTTTAAAACTTTTAAAAAAAATTCTGCACACTTACGTATGAATGTCCAGGACCTTAAATTATTAATGTAGATTGGGAAAGAGCAAGATGGAGCCTTCCATGTGGCTAACTCCATATGGCTTCCATAAAATTTTTAATCACGGGAGAGTCAGGATAAATACCTTAGTTGGCTATGAAATTTTTTTTGGTACCGGGAATCGAACTTGGGTCCTTGCACTTATGCAGCAGGCGGCGAAACCACTAAGCTAAATCCCCGGCCCCTGGCTATGGAATTTTTATAGGCACCTTATTGCCGCTGAAAAACACAAGACCCTCTAAGCGATGCTAAGATTTTCCATGGGATTCAGGTGCTGTGGATGAGGGGAAAGGTTTATGGTGGCTTTGGGGTCCAGGTTGGGTTCCAGACCCTGAGTTTGAAAGCCATGAGGGATTCGCCAACCACGGGATCGCGGGGTGCAGTTTGATGATGTGTATGATGTTTGATCAAAACACAGGGACTGTTTAAATTTTAAAAAGTGTATTCCAGTAAAAGCCACATGGCTAACATCCTCCCCGGCTGTGCACACCCTCTTCCCGCCGTCCTGGCCGCTGTCCGCAGCAGCTCTGGAGTCCTCTTTCCTGAGGGTCTTTAGCTGCACCATCCCGGCTGCCTCGATGTCCTGAGTGGACTCAAAACGGTGACCTTTCCCGGTCATCCTGACCTTGGAGAGGAGCCGGGAGTCGCACGGTGCCAGATGCGGTGACTCGGGTGTAGGAGGACACAGTGTCGTGTGTTTACGAGCTGCCTTTCCGCTGGACGGCGCCCGGCAGAGCAGTCACCGTGTTTTTGATCACGTCTCACAAAGACACTAGGAGTACTAAGCGCAACAGAGATGAGCCAGGGTGCTTAATCCACATTCAGATTTTCACCTGAGGAGCAGCCACTTCACAGTGTGTCCGGGGCGTGTTTCCCTGGGGTGCACACTGCTGGGGCGGGAGGAGCTTCCTGTGGAAAGACCTTTCTGTGGGGTTTGCGCGGGGCTCAGAATTTTAAAGCTGGCCCGTGCGCGCCACCTGCTGGCTCCCGGGCGCTACCAACCCTTCCTGGTGTGGGGTGAACCTCAGCCTACACACACCTAACGTTTGGGGTGCAGGGGTGAGTTCATTCTGCTTCCCTGACGATCCTGGGTCACCATGGAGACACCGTGGCACCCTGGCTGTGATTCGTAGATTTCGATCACCCAGGCTGAAAGTAGGGATTTCGAGGTGCTACTTTCTGCACCTCACACGTGGGAAACATCAACAAATGAACGCTGGCGTGGAGGCGGAGTCCATAATTAATTGCAAATCCCGACGGTATCTGCATCCATAAATTCGACCGATCTGGGGCAGAAAAGAATTTTAACTCTTATTTTTTTAGGAATTTTTTTTCTTTTTAGATTTTTCTTTTAGGGATCAAACTCAGGACCTTTCACTTTCGAGGCAGGTGTGGCGCCACTGAGCTACATCCCGGCCCCCAAAGAAATCTGTAACTGGCTGTGATCAATTCGTTGTAAACACCACTGCACTGGGAGCAGTGTCTTTTTCTTTTTATACTGGGTTGTTGGTGCATCTTTGCAACAGATAATAATTACGTTCACCACAGGGAATTGCTATACGTGCATAGTGAATCTTGAACATTTTCCTTTCCCTTCCCATCTCATTAGGGCCTACCTTCCCGTTGCCCTTTAAATTATTTATATGTAAGTTTTCTCGTGTAAGAGGGACCATGTGATATTTAGCTTTCCGTGTCTCGTTTATTTCACTGCTTACAAGACACATGCATTTGCCTATGAGTGGATCTAATTTATCCTTCTTTAAGGCTGAGTAGTACTCCATCGCGTACATAAACACCATCTTTGAATTTTTTTTTTTGGTACCTGGGATCGAACTCGGGTCCTTGTGCTTGCGCAGCAGGTGGCGAAACCACTGAGCTGAATCCCCAGCCCTAGTGATTTTTTTTTTTTTTGAGGTACTAGAATTGAACCCAGGGCTTTCACATGCAGCTGCACCTCCAGCCCTTTCAAATTTCGTTTTTCTTTTAAGACGAGGTGTTCAAACTGGGCTTGAACCTGTGATCCTCCTGCCTAAGCCTCCCCGAGGGCCTGGATGACAGGTGTGCACCAATACACCAACGTCAAAGTGATGTAATGTAAACAAGAAACTTGCATAGGTTCCGAGCAAATACTACACCGTGTTCCAGAAGGGTCTTGAGTCCTTTCTTATTTTTATTTTGATCTACAAGTTTTGGTGTCCGTGGGGAGCTCTGGGACCAACTCCGGGTGGGTACTGGGAGACCCCAGTCCCTGGGAGCAGACACCCATCCCTTAGAACAAATTCTCAGGCTCCATACGTCTTTGCTTGTATTTTAAAATACGGAGCAAATAACATTCCCAGTGTAGCAGTCATGAAGATGTCAACATCACATCCACAAAGCGGCCCGCAGAAGTGAAAGCTTTTACCCCCAGAGTCACTCTGGTCACTGGAGAGCCCAGAGCCCCCAGCAAACAGCAGATCATGGCCAGAAGACAATGTTTTAAGACCATCTGAAGAGCCCCCTGTCCGCCCGCCGTGACTTTTCCTTCTGATCTGGTCTTCCAGATGCGGTGGACGTCTGAAAAGATCCGAGTCCTCGGTCGCTTTGAGAAAGACTCAAGGAAGAGAAACAATGTTCCTGATCATGGCGCTGCACACAGTTCCTCTTAGTTTTAGCAGAATCTGTGGACTTGAATGGTGTCGTCTTCCCTCCCTCCCTCCCTCCCTCCGTTCCTCCATTCCTCCGCTTTTCTTACTTCCCTCGTTGCCCGTCTTCCCCTTCCTTCCTTCCTTTTCTTCTTTGTTTCTCTTCTGCTACTGAAGACTCAACTCAGGGCCTTCACACAGAGCACCACCCCCCACTCATTTTTGATTTTCATTTTTGAATTTTATTTGGAGACGGGCTCTTCCCAAGTCGCTAAGATGCCCAGGCTGGTTCATACTTGCCACCCTCCTGCCTCAGCCTCCCACGTAGCTGGGATCCCAGGTGTGCACCACCAGGCCTGGCTCTGGAGTGTGCTGTCTCGTGTTTGAAATCCCCTTTGGGGTCGGAGGTGCTACGTTTCTCGGTAAAGATAAGTGAGGGGCAGACCCAGAGCTCGGGTGGGTGGGAGACAGCTCTGAGCCTGCCAGTTTGATCCCGCCTTGGAGCTTCCCGTTCTGAGTGGTCCGACTGCCCCTGACACAATTGTGCTCAGCTTACCCAGCAGGACAGCAGGCGAGCGGCCCAGAGTCTTCGGCGGCAGGGAGGCAGCAGGGGACCTCGCAGCTCGGCAGAGATGGGGAATTGTGTTGGTTTTTCCAAGGAGCTAAGGGAACGGCCGACCTGGGCCGGATTCTTCAGCCCTGTTCCAGACAGGCGAAGGTTTCCCATCGTGAGCAAAGTGGGGACAAAGCGCCCCCAGGAACTGCAGCGGATGGGTCGCCCTTTCCTCCTGGCGTGAGATGACTTCTCTCTGTAGGAGACATGGCTGGGATTTGCACATCTTTCATGCAGAGTTACTTCTGTCACATCCACCTGTCACCTTCTGGCCCTTTGAGAGATTTTTTTTGGCAGCTCTTGTGGTTTTGATGTTTTGGAGAGGAGAGGACCGAAGTGTAGTCTTCAACATAGAACCTTTTGGTGGTGTTTTCAGTCTTTGAAACTCGCTACGCACTCGATCCTGAGGGAGTGTGGGTTTGTCCTTTCTTTGTTCCCCAAGGTAGAAATCTGGCTTCTCACAAGCATCCTAGCTCTTTAATTCTGTCTTGCTCAGATGCTGGGAGAGAGGAATAAAATGGCCTAGGCCACCCACATGTTCGGTTCAAATATGGTGAATGTTTCTGTAACTTGGGCAACTTTGTCTTAAGCATCACAACCAAAGAGGAAATCATTGCTTTGCCATCTGGGATGCGTGTGGAGCACGCTTAGATATTGCAAATACGGATGCTTTGTGAGCACCGTGATGGAGTGGAAACTGGAACACGGGGAGTTGAAAGCAGCAGTTCCACGAAAGAGATGCCTGGCTCGAATGAGAAACAAACAGAAATTGTCCAGAGAAGGATGTCTCAGAATGACAGAACACGAACTTATCGATAACTGCTTTTCTGTCCTGGGCTTTCCTATTGAGTTACATCCTTGGCTTTTTATTTGTTATCTTGACACAGGATCTCACTAAGTTAAGTTGCCCAGGCTGGGATGGAATTTGCAATCCTCCTGCCTCAGCCTCCCTGAGGGTTGGAGTGTCAGGTGTTCACAACCATGCCTGGCTTTGTGTATGACTTAAGCAATCTGAAGACATCAGATATCCCTTATTTCAACTTCTGAGTTTTCTGACACTTCTGTATCCTTGTAAAAGTGGCAGAATCTTGTGCTCAATTACATTTTTCTATGCATGACTTTCAGTATAAGTTTAATTCAGGCCTTGTTCAAGACTGTGTGTGTGTCTGCGTATTCACACACATTCACGGATGCCCTTATCCATACAGGGACACCTAGATGGAATCTAGCAGTTTTCCACATAAATCCGTCCATTTTATGTAAATATCATAAAGTACTTTTAGTCACCTAAAATAAATGGAAGGGCTGGAGATGTAGCTCAGTGGTAGACTAAACATTTAGTGCATCCAGGCCCCGGACCAAATAAACAAAATTAAATGAAGAAAGAAAGAAAGAAAGAGAGAAAGGAAGAAGAAAAGAAAAAAGGGAAAAAGGTGCCTGTTATCATTGTACTTTATTTTTTATATTTCACATGGAAAATTTTATGAGACAAATGCCCCCCCATCCTTCTTTGCTTGACAGAACATCCAGTGAATCTCTTTCTAAGCTGAAACTAGCCTAAGAAATAGTAAAGTAGTTAAATAGTACATGAAATGAATGTAGTTACAGATTTATAAGATAAAAGTTTCTTGGAGGGCAAGGGGAAAGTATGGTTACCAATCAGCCTCCCCCAAAATAAAAATATTTGGACAATAGTGGTGTGTATTAGCTTTTCATTGCTGTGACAAAATACCTGAGATAAATCAACTTACATGAAGAAGAACTTTATTTTGGGTCATGGTCTTAGAGGGCTCAGTCCATGGTTGGCTGCTCCAGTGGTCTCAGGGGGTTCAGTCCATGGTCAGCTGCTCCAATGGTCTCAGGGGGTTCAGTCCATGGTTGGGTGTTTCAGTGGTCTCAGAGGGTTCAGTCCATGGTCGGCTGCTCCAGTGGTCTTAGAGGGTTCAGTCCATGGTCGGCTGCCCCAGTGGTCTCAGAGGGTTCAGTCCATGGTCAGCTGCTCCAATGGTCTCAGAGGGTTCAGTCCATGGT